GATCGTTTCCTTTCCTCCCAACCTACCCATCCAGCAAGAGTCATGGTCTCCTTGACTCATCCAAACTTGCAGAGTCAGAAAAGACGGGTTTTGGTCTCAAAACAGATGCCAAGCAGTCGCTGGGCCTCCAGCAAGTCACCTACCCTCCCCGTACCTCAGATTCCTCACAGGGAGGTATTACCACTTTATGATCAAGAGCAGAGATTTCGGAGTTTTAACTGATCAGGGCCTGAATCCCAGGTCACCAGGCATTAAGTCATGAGAACTCGAACCCTCTGAGCTTCCGCGTTCCGTGCGCCCCCTATGAAAAGTTAGTGCACCCCATTATGCTACGTTAATGTGCCCCGCTATGAAATGTTACAGCAATCCTTATTTCTTAGGTTACTGTGAGGACTAGCTGAGAAAATAAATGAAGTCTGTGTACCCTGCATGGCACACAGGAAGCATTCAACATTAGATACTATCGCCTATTTCAGTTAATTATGGGAAGACCAGATGAGCTCTGACACGTACGCTGGGCTAGGAGTACACCGCTAACTCTGAGCATGCCGAGGAAGTCAGCTTCAGCTTGACGGGGACAGCGTCTCGGGCACTGGGTGGGAAGGTGCGTGTCCAGCAATGTCTGAGCTCCAGCCAGCTCTCCACTCTGCACTGGCTGCTGATCCCCTGACTCAGCTCTGAAAGAAGAACCACGTCCTCTGTCACTGAGATATGGGTGATCATGTCCACCTATAATAAACAGAACGCCGAAACTCAGCATCCTGGGGAAGTAAGGAAAAAATGGTCCTACACCGAGGCTGTAAGGTTTCCATTATTTTAATTTACTGATAAAAACATACTTTATTTTTTTGCTCCATACACTGAGAACTCATCCAGAAAATAAATTCAATGAGAGGTCCACAGTCCGTCATCAAGATTTAGGAACAAGAAAGTGGGCATAAAAGTTTTAAATTCCTGAAAATACTGTAACCAACACTGAAAGTCACTAGTTACTAGTGAGACTGGCCTCTAGTGCCAATCAAAAGTAATGTGGTAATTAAAGTTTACGTAATTCTCAACATAAAAAGCAAGACCACAATATTTACCTTGCCTAACCCATACCATTATTCTGAGGATCAAATAAAACAACAGAGATCAAATGAAATAAAAGTGCTTATAAACTGTGAGGTATTTTTTTGTTAAATTTTAACCCACTGATATTTAATGCTTCCCTCCAAATTCGGATGAGAGCTTCATAAACAAACATCCATTCCAGCCTTGGCAAGTTGGTATATTAGCATCCTCACTGACATGAGAAAATGGCTCATCCAAGGTCACGTAACTAATAAATGTCGAAGGTTGAGTTTCAAGCCTACGTCTGACTCCAAAGCCCGTGTTTTGACCACCACGCTGCCAAATCCAGACCACCTCTGTGAAGGTCAGCAGATCAAAGGAGATGCTCATGAAGCAGCAGCAGCTCCACAGAGACTGGATGCAGAACGCCGCCCAGCACAGAAGGACCGCATCCCCTGGACTCTGGGCAGGAAGAATGTCAGGTCTTTTCCCACATCCTGTTCTCCCTTAAAGAACTTTAAAATTAAAAAAAAAAAACTCCTTGATTCATGTTCTTTTTCATGAGTCCTTAATTTAGTGTTTGAGAGACAGAGAAAAGTCTAGAAAAGCTGCAGAGAGGAGAAGAAGATCGATTAAGAGCAAATTAAAAGGGAGCCTCTTCCACTGCTGGTGGGGTTGTAGTCTGGTGCAGCCATTATAGAAAACAGTACAGAGATTCCTCAAAAACTAAAAATAGACTTACCGTATGATCCAGCGATCCCACTTCTGGGCATACATCCAAAGGGAACTCTAATTCGGAAAGATACATGCACCCCAATGTTCAGAGCAGCACTCTTGGCAATAGTTAAGACATGGAAACAACCTAAATGTCCATCGACAGATGACTGGATAAAGAATAAAACAATGCCATTTGTAGCAACATGGATGGACCTAGAGATCGTCATTCTAAGTGAAGTAAGCTAGAAAAATACTGTATGATATCACTCATATGTGGAATCCAGAAGAAGAAAAAAAAAGACACTAGTGAACTTATCTACAAAACAGAAACAGACTCACAGACATAGTAAACGATCTTACGGTTACCGGGGAAAGCACGTGGGAAGGGAGAAATTTGGGAGTTTGAGATTTACTAATGTTAGCCACTATCTATAAAAACAGATTTTTAAAAAGTTTCTTCTGTACAGCACAGGGAACTATGGTCAATATCTTGTAATAACCTTTAATGAAAAAAAAAATTAAAATGAATACACGTATGTACATGCATGACTGGGACATTGTGCTGCTGTACACCAGAAACTGACACATTGTAACTGACAGTACCTCAATAAAAAATAAAAAGAGCAAACTCTAGAAACAGGTGAGAATTTTTAAAGAGCTGGTTCAAGCTGCCTTTTATGGGCTCCAACAGGAGAAAGCTGCTTTGGGAAAAGTGACCCTTGCCAAGTGCCACCAGGGTAACTTAAGAAGAAAAGCAAATCCCAATGAGCATATTACATTCGTATAATCACCCCAAATTCAAAGGGAAGTTAGCTTTTCTACTGTCATCCTGTGGAATGAAACACTTACACTTGAGCGGTTGTCCTAAGAACTTACTGGGGTAACTGCCGGAACTCACTTACTCCCCAACGGCTGAAAACAAATATAAAGACTATCCAAGAACGACCTCAAACACACCCTGTGTTCTCTGAGCAGCTAGAACCACCGCGTGAGACCCAGCTCCAGGAACACTACCAAGGGGACAAAGTCGGCTACTCGGTGGTGACGGGCTTCTGAGCGTCTGCGTTGCCACTGACCAACTGCCTGGCTCTCTGGTTCGCACACCTGCCACCGCCACCCAAGACTATCCCAGCAAGAAAGTGGGCAGGAGGCTCACCCTTAAGGCACTGGCGCCCTCTCCTGACCCTTCTGTAGTACTGCATGCACGCCATTTATTGATGTGAAAAACACCAGTGAAGCCATAAATTAATTAAACTGCATTTTCCAGATAATTTTATATTTTCAACTCCTTGAATAAACCTTAATTTAGCTTAATAAAAATATTAAAGAGAAGAGCTTCTACATAAAATTTATGCTAATGAAAAGAGAAGCAACGATGTTCTCTTACCATTTTAATGGTTTACATGTATTAGCTGATTATATTACAAGAATTATGCTGATGCCAATAACTGAGGTGCAGAGACCTTACCATGTGCCAGGCACTCGGCACAAGCGGACTAGTTCAATGCTAACCACAACCCAACAGAAAGGGCACGCCTCTCCGTCTTACAGGCGCGTAAGTGAGGCGTAACGAGCTCAAGGGACAGGACCGCGGTCCTGCACCTGGTGTAGGCGGCAACACTGAAGTCCAACCTCAGCAGCTGTGACACCGGGGCCAGGGCCTGTTTACACCCAAACATCCCTGCAGGCTGGGGAGCTGACATCACGATGAAATGAAACATGATTAAAGTACAAGAAGTGCAAGTCGTAAGGAAAATTAGAGATGTTCTCCAAATCTCTTAATTTTCAACAGTCTCAGACTGTATAAAAATGAAGCAGTACATGAAATGTTTTGGTCATTTTCTCACTCCTCCTCACTAGAAGGTATGAACTTCTGGGTCTATGACATTTTTATGCCTTCTTTTTACTACTCATTCCTTTTTTTCATTAAACGGTGCCTTTATTTATCTATTATCTGGTCCTTCAAAAGAAAAGAATTATACTACATGCTTTTTTCCTTCCATAAAGCAGAACTGCTTACCCAGTCCTACCTAAACTCTCCATTCCATATGGGTCTTCAGAAAATATTTTCCTTAAGACAGTAAATCCAAATAGACTCCTTTCTTTCTCACTGCAGGTATGACAGACTCCCTTCTGTCTGCAGTTGTTCAGTGTGTCCTTACCTCAAATCAAGGCTGACAGATCAGTCTTCTAAGACTTCTAAAAAGGCTAACTTTATTTTCAGACAGGATAGGAAGGCATGTTATTGTCTAATGATCTACAGTTCAAGCGAGATTTACCTCGAACATCCTTAGATTCCAGTTTGCCTACGAAAAGCTATTCACAATATCAAAAAGTAAGGACACAGTCCACTGACAGAGGAATGGATAAAGAAGACACGGTGTGTATATGCATGAGTGTGTGTATGCGTGTGTGCACACATACACAATGGAATATTACTCAGCCATAAGAAAGAATGAAATCTATTTGTAGAAGCATGGCAGACCTAGAGATGATCACACTAAGTACATCAGACAGAGAAAGACAAACACCATATGATACCACTTATTTGCGGAATCTTAAAAAATGACACAAATGAACTTATTTACAAAGCAGAAACAGACTCATAGACATAGAAAATAATCTTATGGTCACCAAAGGGGAGAGGGAGGGGACAGATGAGGAGTCTGGGATTGATAGATACACACTACTAAATATAAAATAGATAAACAACAAGGTCCCACTATACGGCACAGGGAACTATGTTCAATATCCTGAAATAACATATAATGCAAAAGATTCTATTAAAAAATATATACACACACACATACATAAACTGAATCACTTTGTTCTATACCTGAAACTAACACACTGTAACTCAACTATACTTCAAATAAAAAATTAAATTAAAAAAATTAAGGACACTTAATAACCCAACACAGGCTGACCAAGCTCACGGCCGTCCAAGACCGCAAGATCTGCCACAGGTGAGAACAAACGCTTTTACACCTATCTTCTCACTTCATGATGTTAAAGTACACTTAGAAGTACAGGCTTCAAGCCTGAAGCGTCAAAAACACGCATACACCACACCAGCTTTAGTGTGTTTGATCCACGAACAGAAGAAACAAGACGGTGGTAGTTAGCCACATTATCCACAGACCCCACATCTCAGCGTGACAGAACGCGCGCAGGTAAAGCGCAGGAAGAGGCGTCAGGAACCCGCGCCCCGCCGGGCCGAGCGCTCGCACCTCTGTCTGCAGGATGGCGGCCCTCTGCTCCTTGGCGGTCAGCGACTCCTTCAGCACTTCGATGTGCTGCTTGCTGTCTGAGAACTGGTTCGTGAGCGTTTCCAGCTTTGTCTGCAGGGCCAGCAGCTCCGTGTCCTTCCGGGACAGCTCCTGCTTCACCTGGCCAATCTAGAGAGGAAACAGGAAAACAGCGTAAAGCCGCCACCTCCGGCCTGCGTCCCTGACGGAGCCGCCGCAAGATGCGCAGCATTCAGTTTTGGGCAGGACGTAATTCACCTTTCTGCATCATCTAATCTTAGACAACCACTCCTCCCCACGGCCCGCCACCCCTAAGAAAGCTTATTCGGCCAACAGCACAGTTTCCAGTGTTCACCTGTTGTGTCTCCTAGGCACTTTGAAATCCCTTAGGAAAGGAATGGAAGCAGAGAGACCCCAACGCACTTGAGATGACTATGAGCCAGCAGGAAGCACCTGGGCTGGAACACCTTCACCTTGTTAAGTCATAATAAACGTCACAACACAAAGCAGGATCAGAGGAGATGGAACAGAGAGAGAAGAAGAAACTTCCTGGATTGCTCTTTAAATTCAAAAGCTGCTGCTCTGCTTGTCTTTTCATTCTCAAATGAAAGCTTACGTGGAGTTTTCACTTTGAGAAGCCGTTTCAGTGTCACAAGGCAGTATAAACATGTGCTTTTAAAAAAATCCTCTAGTTCTGATGAGTTAGGGGTATTGACCTAAAAAAAGATTCCACCTCCAAAGTTTGTATTGTCTACAGCATGTCAGCTCAACTACTTGGATGAAAGTACACAACCTAAATAGAGACTGCGTAAAACCTGACTCTCTAGACTCCGCATGTGGACTCTTGACAGAGTGGGCCGTCAGTCAGCAGGTGCCGCCTGGTCCTCTATACATTCTTCTCACCTTCACTTAGAAAACACTTTATTTCAAACTTCTCCTTTTACATTTCTACTGTGTTTCTAAGAACTTTTAGTCTTTTACTCCGAATGTACGCCAGATCAGCAGAAATCAGATCAGCTTCCACACTGCAAGGTAGCTGTGCACTAAAGTAAAGGTTAATTATTCAAACTATGCATTTTACAAGAAGTCACTTTCAGGGCAAAAAATTTCTTTCAGTACCACTGATGAAGCAAAAAGTACTTTTTTTAAACTGAAAGTATCTAAAGTATTTTAACGGTAATCATCTAAGGCGTAAGGGACGAAGCTTTTGAGAACAGTTTCCCACGAGGAAGTATGAAATAAATTTTACTTTAATTAAAATCAGATGTTTAAGGAGCACTAAAAATAAAGCTCTAGCTTACTCTTTTGTCTCAGAAAGACGACAAGCACTTTTCTCACATGAATGAAATCTCTGTTTACAGATGTAATCACTCATTCCTTCAACAATTACTCCTGTGTGCTCCCTGCACTAAGAGCACCAGTGGATGGCAACTGTAAACAGCAGTCGTCTCCACCCTGCAATACAGCCACGCGCCCGGCAGAGACCGCAGACTCCAACGGTGCAGCGTCCTTCAGGGCACCCCTCCACCAGCAGAAAGCACACACTGTATTATTCCACCCCTAACACACGGGATGCACTAAAAGCGCACTTGTTGTGTGAATGAATATTCAGGAGAAACAAACGTTCAAAATGTTCTCACTTCATCAGCTAAAGAACACGGCTTAAAGATTCCTCACACTTCCAGCCACCTCTGATCATGTGATCCAACGCAAACATAAAGCCTCAGTTTCCCCACCACCTGCACCATTAAATAATCTTCAAATGACACTATGTTGATCATAAAGCCTGAGAGAGAGAAGAAAATGCTCTAAATGGGAAGCAGAGTTCAGAAGCGCAAATTTTCCTTAAAAGTTAGGAGCGTAACGCTTTGGAGTCAATCACTGTGAAGACGAGTGACTTCTGGAGTAACCACCTCTCTAAGCCTTGGCTTCCTAATCAGCCAGAGGGAGAAAGCAAAACCAGTGCCACTGTGCTGTGTGCAGACTGTTGTTTGACACAGAAAGAAATCAACAACCGTAGCGGAGAAAAGTTATAGAGCACCTTCTCCTCTGGAAAACACACGTGTACCACAAACCAAGCTGGACCCCTTCAGACAAAATATCTCACTCTTATCTACACTATAAAATGGGCCCATAAACAGCAAACACATCGAATCAGCACAAGGTTTTTTTTTCAAATGCTGCATTCCAGTCTTATCCCATCATTATTTTCAGAAGCAGTTTTTCCCGACACTGCGGGGGACTAACGTGTGCACGGCCCAGGGCAGGGCAGTGGAGTGGACAGCTTACCAGCACCAGTTCCGGAACCAGATGGCTTGTGTAAAAATCAAACTCTGCCTCTTACTAGCCATGCTTCCTGAGCGCTACTGTGTCGCCTCAGTTTCCCTGCCCATAAATTGGGTCAATACCATACCTACCCTGGGAGGTTACAGAAGTGTTAGCTATGTTATTATTATTTGATTACAGTGTGAAATGGAATTTCAAGTTCTTTAGACAACAGACTGAACTAGATTTGGAGGCTTCAAGATTCATGCTACTTCTAACTTACTAGATAACTCTGTATAAGCTAATCACTTTCTATACATCTGTCCTAAAGAAAGTAAAATGTGTTGCAGAATCACCTCTGGGGATTTAAAAATGATGTCTACCTATGAAGATGAAACACTTTACTCAAGAAATCAAATCCAAACAAACACTGGGTGGTGGACCTAGAACACCTGCGTATTCTTTGTACCTAAGAAGAAAGAGAGACCGTTCATATAAATCAACGAATATCCAGGAACAGGAAAGGAGTTGAGGAAGAAACCAGGCTTTGAAGGACCATCCACAGGGTGACAAGAGCGACAAGAAAGAACCAGGCACAGGGCTTCCAGAGCGTGAGGGCTCACTGCACACGAGGTGACACGCGGTCGAACCGGTGGACAGGGGTCGGTTAAAGAGCAGAGCAGGCCGGTTAGTGCGAGGGTGGGGCAAAGCTGCCAGCCACAGAGGATGGACGCGTGAGCCCCCAGAAGCAGCGCCAGCAGGGTCCCGCTGCGGGGTCGCTGCCCGCACAGAGCGCATCTTACGGCAGAGACCTCGGCCTGCAGACCAGCCGCTCTCTTTCTCAGCTCCTCCCCTTGAGCCTCTTTGGAACTTAGCTCCTCCTTCAGTTGCTCTACCTGCCACGACATTGTTATTCCTTTTCACTTATATGTCAGCTGAGGTCTTCTTATGACCTGCTTTTGAGCCAGAGCAGTAACTGGAAATAACAATAACACATCACACAGTCAGATCTGTTCCCCTGACGCCCTCTTCAAAGGCCCCTCGCGGTTTCTCTGTTTCACAGGGTTTTCTAAATGGACTGGAATGTGCTTATCAGCAAATGGGAAGCAGAGATTATATGCTACTTTGTTCTCAAATTAGAGTGAAAAATCAAAACTAACACTAAGTTGGATATGTGGATTTTTTTCCCTCTAAAAGTGACAAGAAATTGGCTGCAGTCACTGATAGCAGACCCCTAACCTCACAGAGGAGTATCCCACTGGCTTCCATGCAGCCGTGGGCGTCACAGCCAGAAGCCAGAAACCGGAGAGGGAGTCACCACTGGGGCGTTAAAGACACAGCGTCCACTTCGGAGAAGCCGGGGCACTGACACGGCTGGGACTGGGGCGGGGCGGGGGTGAGGGAACACTTATTTTCAAGCTAGTATTTTATAACTGAAACTATTATCTTTAATTAAAACACTACAAATTTGATAAACTGGTAACGGTAATAAACTAAATCCTTCAGTTTGCCTAAAACCGTCTACAGGATCAAGCTAAATGCCCCTGGATCTCAGGAGGGAATCCTGTGACTGCGGTCCTCAGTACAGACCGAACGTCTCAGCGGCGCCCCCTCCCTGCACAGACACCGAAGCGCACGTGGGCGACAACGAGCCCCACACAGGGACCTTCGCCAGGGGAGGGCGCGAAGGGCTTTCCTTTACAGAGCTGTGTTTGAAGGGAAAAGACAATTTTATTTACACTTCGGGGGATAAAAGGGAGGAGGCAGGTTCAGCCTCAGGATTCTGACTTCTAGAGTATTTCACTGGAGGTAGGGAACGTGACGTTTCATATAGTGAGAAAAACTCATCTGGACGGAATTCCACTGACGGCCTCAGCAGCACTGACAGGTATGAAATGTGCAGCTGTGACGGTGCGTATGGAAGCCTCATACAGGTAACTTGAAGTGAAATCTGAAACAACTATATAATACGAGTAATTCTAACTTTAATTCTGGGGACATTCTGTTCGGAAGAATTATATCACAAGAATTCCTCCCTGAAGCCTGATAAAAAACCAGGTGAAGTCCCTCATCACTAAGAAGCAGGGATATGCGTCAACCTTTCTTTCGAACCCCTTTTAAAAATTACGGCGTCAGACACCATTACCTTATTCTTCATGAATTTAGAATGGCTTCGATAGACCTCCATCTGCTTCATTTCCTCCTCCCGCTCTTCAGTACTCAGAGCCCCGTTCGATTTCAGCATCTGAATTTCCTCTTCCAAGTCTCGGAGCCCACGCTCCATAGAGGAAATTTTTGAATCCTGAGGACAATGGGAGATTGAGACGTTAACGTATTCTCAAAAAAGCAGAGCGGGTGAACGAGCCTGTCTCTATGGATATTAAACTTAATAAAGATAAGCAAATATGTGGAAAAACTGCAGCTGGAACCTTGCTTCTAACACACATCCTTCATGGCCATTTGGGTGAGAGGAGGAGGAGGACTCAGATCTACAACATGATTTTTCCTCTATCCCTTCCTCTGCACCTTTTGATGAAAGCTGAGCGTATTAACTAAAGCAGTAGAAGCGATGGAAAACTAGCTAAAGTTTCTCAGTACTTTATGGCCAACAAATTTCTAGTGAAAAATTTTGCATATTAACAGTAATAAAATCTTCTCTAGCTATAATATTTTAACACTTTACATGATGACTCTTAAAAGCTTTATTTCTGCCCCAAGAGGAGTGGGGAGCAGGGTAAGAGCATTTCAAAGACTTGCACAGTGATGTGCGTAACTGTACCGGCGGCAATAAAGCTCTGACAGCACCCGCCGCGGGAAAGCAAAGGCGTGAAGAATCACGTTGACGGTCACGGTTTATCCTTCAGTGGTCCTGCCTTATCTGCGGTTTTGCTGTCTGTGGTTTCAGTCACCCAACGTCAACTGAGGTCCAAAAATATCACAGGGAACATTCCAGAAATAAACAGCTCATGGGTTTTAAACTGCGCAACATGATGAAATCTCACCCCAGCCCACCCTGTCACACGCAGGACGTGAGTCACCCCTTTGTCCGGCACGTCCTGCCGCTGGTCACCTAGCAGCTGTCTCAGTTGTGAGAGGGACCATCCTGGCATCACAGCGCTGTGTTCAGGTGACCTCTGTGTTACTTAGCACTGTCCCCAACGCAAAGGAATGGTGACACTAGCAATACACATTTGCTGAGGAGAAGCCGCAAAGCGCTTCTTCTAAGGGAAAAGGCAAGAGCTCTCACTAAGGAAAGAAAAACAAGCACATGCTGGGGTCGCTGAGATCCACGGTCAGAACGGACCTTCCGTCAGTGAAACTGTGATGAGGGGAAAGGAAATTTGTTCTAGTTCGGCTCTTGCACCTCAAACTGCAGAAGTTAAGGCCACGGTGAATGGTAAGTGCTCAGTTAAGATGGGAAAGGCATTAGATTTGTACAATAAGATACTGAGAGAGAGAAAAAGAGATTCTTCACATAACTTTTATTACAGTATAGTGTTGTAACTGTTCTATTTTATTATTAATTATTGTAGTTAATCCCTTACACTGTGCCTGATTTATAAACTAAACCTTATCACAGGTATGTATGTAGAGGAAAACACACACACACACACACACACACACACACACACACACAGGGTTTGGTACTATCCGTGGTTTCAAGCATCCACCGAGGGTCTAGGAACGTATCCCCTGCAGACGAGGGGCAGTATGGGATTAGTCATCTTACTTGTTCACTACACTTCACCATGCCTTTGAAACATTTCACATTAATTTTTAAAAAGAAACATCACTGTCCTTGAAAGTCAGCATCACCACAAACACCACTCCTGGTGCACCCTTCTACACTCATCTTCTTGGCTTTGTCCATCACAGTGCCTAGCATATCCCCAGGTGACTTCAGATGTCATCAATTACAGAAAAGCTACACAGAATGGACACTTTCACACCCGCAGCTGTGTGTGCTTATTCACCTAAGAAATAGAGCCCTTAAAGGGCACAGATTAAGTACAGACTCATTTTATCTGGGATTCTAGAGACACCATCCCTTCGGGGAGAAAGTTTGAGCCTGACTTCCTCTCGTTCACTTGACCTCGAGGACGTCTTGACTGACGTTCCTTGCCAGCACAGTTCTGAGAGCACGCAGACAAGAGGGAAAGGGTTCACGCGAGACAATCACAACTGCTTTTAGGTTTGTGGGGGCGGGGCTGTACTCCTCTGACTTGCGTTGGCTTCGCTTTAAAAATAACACAGCAAAAAACTTCTTTTACAAATCTATTCAAATGAAATTTACATTTGGTTCGAAATTAAACACATTAAATTAATACAACCAGAGACATTCTAATCTAAACCAAGATTTTGACTTCCTCGTTTAAAATTATCCCGGCACATAAAGAATAAACAAACTACTTCAACGCACCGAGTGAAAATTCACTTTTAAGATTCCTATGAATCTCCCCGGAAATGTCAGGATGCGGAGCCAAACTTCTTAAGGGACATGAAGAGGTTAGAGAGAAACAGAGAGGGAGGGGGGAGCAGGGGCGGGGGTCCCTGTCTCCAAGTCTTCCAGCTTTTGTACGAAAGCACACGTTGTTAATAAAGCAGCAGCAGCAGGAGCAGCTACCGCTGCATGTTTCCTCCACGCCAGGTCCTGTTTAAGGGGTTCTACTTGTTTTAACTAATTGAAACCACAAACCAACCCACAGGATGGGTGCCATTTTTATCACCACTTCTCAGGAAAGAAACTGAGGCACCGAGAGGCTAGGTTCCTTGCTCTGTGCCGCACACCTGACTAAGTGAAGCCAGACTCTGAATCCGGGGGACTTAACTCAGAAGGCAAGCTCAACTCAGTCACCAACCGCCTTGGCTAACGTCCCTGCAGCCTAAAGATTTCTAACTGTTCAGTAACTGAAAGCAGAGGTTTTCAAAGTCTGGTCCATGGAACCCTGGGGGTGCCTCCTAGCTGTGCCGAGAAGTCAAAGCTATTTTCCTAACAGTCTGTGACTCTGTGTGCCTTTCCCACTGTGGTAACACTTGCACCAAAGGTACAAAAGGCAGGCAGAGGGGCTCGGGCCTTAGGGCGGCACCGACTGCACCAAGCGGCCGGCAGCCCCTGTGCTCTCCAGTGTCGGCCCACAGGAAAAACAAAGAAAAAGAAGGAAGAAAAATGTTAAAACACTGCTTCACCGAAGAATGTCGTTGGCGACTTTATCACTTTTGCTATGTGGCACCCTTGGGTACATGTTTTCAACACTGTGTGAGGGACCGGGAAGGCGCCAGGCGCCTCTCTGCGGCGGAGGTGGCCCTGCCCCCGGGACAGCACCTGGGGCGCCTCGAGCTGCCAGCTGCATCAGCACGTTTTTCATGGAGCCCGAGTCTTACTCGAGAGGAGGACTGGCGGACGGACTTAATATTTGGCAGGCATTTTCTTGAAAATAAATGAAATGAGTCACTTTAAGAGAATAGGGGGTCCTGAGATCAAAAGGTCTGAGGACATCTGATTTCGAGAAATGCGGGACAAAAGGAAATGAAACTGAAGTTCTTCCAACGCGTCATCTTCATTAAGTCTTCCTGCTGCTTCTCAGGCCACAGAAGGAGGGAACCCCCTTCTAAGACTCACACAAGAGGGTGCGACCACCTGAGAGCCTCCGTCAGGTTCCCACTCACCTTCATCTCGATAACCGTTTGCAGAGCCTTCGTTTTGGCAGAGTCGGGGGCGCTCTCAAATCTCCGATGCATCTCCTGCACAAGAGAAGCAGAAGGAGAGTAAGCGTCCTCCTTTTCACAAGGCAAGGGGAGTGGGCAGCAGCTGCGTGCAAAGGGTGATCACCCCAGCCCCGTGAGACCCGACCGCTTTCTGTCTCCCTGACCTTCCCGTGTGGATCCGGAAACCCACAGGCGGCACTCGGACCAAGGGGTGCGGGGGGAGGGGTCCCTGTCTCCGAACACCTAGTTACGTGCAAGGAGGCAGGCAGACGCCGCGGCCACCGCAGGGGAAGCTAGGCACACGCCCAGCCTGGCGCATCGCTCTTGCTGCGCTATGACTGGGAGACGGACAAGCAGAACCCCAGCAACCCAGAGGGGGGTCAGGCACAGCCCCTCTGTAGGAGGAGAAAGCACAGCAGCCACGGTCCGCACCGCGTGGAGCCGCGGAGAGCACCCTGCCCTCAGCTCCCGCCCGCGGCCCCCAGCACCTGGCTGCCCGGGAGGGAAGCTCTCTCCACAGGGGCTACGACGATCAGAATGAGAAAGAATGTAAGTTGAACGCGTTCCCTAAAGAGTCCGTGTTTAGCGAGTGTCAGAAAAACGTAGCTTTTTTTTATCCAAACGTCAGTCAGTTCAGGGTCAGGAAAATGAAGGAGACGGTAGAGCACACAGCCAGCGTCTTCGGGGGCCACCCGGAGTCACCAGACCCCCTCAGGCTATTCCCTCGTCAGATTCTGGGGGGTCTCTCGATCAGTCAGCGCTTCCACGGTCCCCGGTGACCGCAGAGCGCACAGACGGATACTCTCCCTCTGAGCAGCGCCCGACGCTTCCGTTACACCTGTCGCCTAATTTAGTCATTCTTGCCTGACCAGGAAAAATGGTTTGAGAGAAACAGAAAACAGAAGCACAAACTTCACTGAGTCCTCTTCCTGACATGATGTGACAAAAGTTCTAAATTAGAAACAGTCGACAGTTTAAATACCAGTCATGTCTGAGCATCCACGCTTCCCGTCTGAGCTGACACTGCGACACAAAGCACTGACTGCCCAGCGCCCCCTCCGCCACCTCCCTCCCCGACTCCAGCCTTAAACACTCCCCCCACCCCCCAGCCCGCATCCCACCCACACACTGTGTGTAATAAACACCTCAAACTCTGCCCACTCTGGGCTAAGCTCCTGGTGGGGCCCCCAAGCCTGCTCCATCCTCCCAGTAACTCCAGTCAAAAACCCACGAGAACCTCCAACGGAAAAGATGAAAAGGAACATACGTATGTACGTGTATGACTGAAACACGGTGCTGTGCGCCAGAAACTGACACAGCACTGTAAAATGGCTACACTTCAACTAGAAACAACAACAACAACAACAACAACAACAAAACAAAACAAAACAAAAAACTATGAACCTTCTTTCTCTTTCAAACTCCAGCCAACCAGTCGGGAAATCCAGTCAGTTCTACCTTCAGCACACATTCAAAATGCAAGAGCTTTTTACCACCTCCACGGCTACCACCTGGGGCGAGCCACTAACAAACAGGCACCTTTTGCCGCAACCGCCACCTCCTACCCAGGCCCTGCAGGCCCCAGCAGAACGCTCAGTGACCCTTTTAAACGCGAATCTGGCTGGCCTCACCACCCCCTGCTCCAACCCTGTCGTGGCTCCCCCAGTGACTCTGAGCCTGCCAGACCTCGTCTCTGCCACTCCGCCCTCTGTCCCCACGCGGCAGCCACACGGGGCTCCCTGCGGCCCAGCAGCCAGGCCCACAGCCTCCTCATTGCTCCAGATGCTCCTAAACGTTCTGCCTCAACGTCTGTCCCGTCAAGCCCTGGGTCCGACGTCTCTGACACCAGCAGGACCGGTAGCTGCGACCATGGCGCTGGTTATGCAGGAGGCCGTCCACCTGTTTCAGAGCTGCACACTAGAGCCTGCAAGTGTCACGTCTGTAAGTGACAGCGTGTCAGGGATGGGCTTTAAGATCTATGATGAAGAAAAGAAGTGTAAGTTTAAAGTTTTTCATAAAAAACAAAGTAATGTTTAATATTCTTAGTATGACCTACCCTACTTTACACCTGAAAACTGAAAGAATAAACAATCCACCTGCCCCTTCCCTTTACCTGCCTCTCCCATCCCTTCTCCCGCACATCTGTCCTCCGACATGTCCCACAGCCTGCTTACTTGTCACCTGTTCTGTTTATTTTCAATCTTCCTCAGTAAGCACACTCGTGCCACCAGGGCCAGGCCTTTGCTTCGTTCACCGATGGATCCAAAGTGCCCACAACAGTGGCTGGTACGCTGGTGAGTGCTTCACGGGCTTCGGAGAACTGGCTACAGAGGGAATCTTCTGAGCCCTCCTCTCGGGCGCTGTGGGACGTGCACCACCTCGTGTCGCCCCAGCAGCGCGCTGCACGGCCCACCTCTGGCACTCGCTGTGTTATATCCAGGGTAAGTTTCTTCTCTAACATGCCAGTCTGTGAAAACTGCCTTTCACTCCTCAGACACTGGTGGCTAGACGCACCCCCCCAACACTACAGTGACCAGGTGATCAGCCCTAAACCCTTTTCTCTTTTCCATCTAAACGCTCTCATCTGCTACGTTGCTCCCACACAAGATTCAAGTGAGATGCTGGCAGATGTCCACACCTGCTCTCTGCTCTGACTTCAAGACTCATACACCCAACTGCCCACGCGGCATCTCTGTTCAGGTGTCCACTAGGTAACTCAAACCTATTTTATCCAAAACAGAACTCCTGACTTTCTCTTCCCTGATCCAGCCCCTCCTGTGACGGTCGCTGAGTCTCCCCGTCTCCGTGAGCAGCACTAGCTCCCAGGGGCCCCAGCCAAACACCCGAGTGTCTCCTCTCATGCCTCCCAGATCTCCATCTCCCACCACCAATTCTACAGCAGGTCTTCACTGTTCTATCTCCAAAACGTTTCTTGAATTGATCATTTCAGCCCCTTTCCAGTCTAGTTCAAGCCTGGGTTACTACAAGGCCCTCTAGTCAAGCTTCTCCCGTTTCCTCTGTCCATTTTAAAGAAAGCAATGGGATGATCTTGATAAAGCGTCAACAAATCACGGCTGCAGTCTGTTTCACATTCTTCAGTGGGTTTCCCATTTACTTCTCACTCTCTACAAGGTCAACACAATCTGACATCACAGATGGAAGACTGGCCCTCCTGTCATAAACTATTTTAAAACTAGACAGAATGCAACTGTTTTCAGACGCCGGAACACAAGCAACATAGGACTAAGACCCTTGAGAGAAGACACACTAACAAGGTCATGGTCCAGACTTCTTATCCACTGTGTGATGCAGGGAGGGGAAGGTCAAACAGAAAAGAGCAGTCTTGCAGAGCTCGGTGGATAAGAGTCCTAAAGACAGTGGGAATGTGCGGAGCGGAACAGCGCAGAGCAGGAAGCTGGCCAGAAAAGCAGCAACGTCCAACCTGGCAGGGCCCCCTTGAGCCTCTGACCACACACTGAGTGTGTGTGCACAGGGCAAGACACCACGATGTCAGACAAAGAACAACCACCGGGCACAGGACCAGAGAGCGACGAGTTGAACAGGTACTGAACTGGCCTGGGGTGGGAAAAATTCAAGGCCCAAAACGCCCGAGTGGAGAGCACGTCCGAGGCACTGAGCAGAGACACCAGCCAGGCCAGGTCCTGGGGGCAGAGGGACTGCAGCCCCAGAGGGAAGGCTATCTAGACCTGCCCCACAGAGCCTAGAAGCAAGGCTCGTGAGCATCACGGTAACCCTCACAGTTAGCCCCGGCAAGACAAAACACTCCGCTAAGAAAGATGCTGCCACCTTACCACTGCCAGTGACGCAGACAGGCACCCCTGAGACACGCTAGCCAGAGTCAGCACTCCGGCCGGGGCCGGGGAGGGTGGCAGGACCTCTAACCTCAAACACTGCTGCACGTCCTCCCGGGACAGCAGTTGCACTAAACCAGGTCTGTCGACCGAAACGTTACAGAAACAAAAATTAGCATAAATTTAAATATTTTAAAACAGATCAGTATTTTGTTCATCATAATAGGATCTACACTTTTAAAAAGCTGGAGCACATGCAGTTCTGAAACGTATTATTTATTCAGCTTATAGACAATGCATGTGGACTGCAGATCCAAAAATTCCACAGCCAACCTGGGTATTTTCTGCCAACAGACTGAGAACCAAAACTTGGTATATACCCTGCAGCCAGTTCGCACTCCACTCGCCCCGGCCCCAGGCGCTGTCCTGGCTGTAGTTCAGTGCCTGTCCAGCAGGTGTCTTCCCTCTTCTGCCAGTCAAAGGCAAGGCACTGCAGTGAACAACGCGAAGGCTGACAGACAAGTCACGTAACAACATAACTTCAGCACAAACAGCAAAGACAGCGCTTAATTCACACTTCATGTTCTTCTTTGGCTTTTACTTCAGGGATCATTTACCTGCCATCTACAGAATCATGTTTACAAACAAAACGGAAAACTAATCGCAAAGGTTCTTGGATATAAATGCCATTTTTATGTCACTGTATTTCAAATCTAAGACACCACGGATGGTCACACAGTACCACTGTTTAATTTGTGGGCAAGAAAGAAGAACATGTCTCCAAATAAATCATAGCCCAAGCTTGTGTCATTCAGAATTTTCATTTTACACTGACTGCAAGACTCTCTTTTACTTATTTAACCATAGAGTTTTAATCATATATCATTTTGAACTGTTTTTATAACTTCCTCCGTACCAGTAACTTTTCGTTTCAATGCTGAGTCACAGCACAGTATTACTGAAGACACCCCGAACCACAATGAAGGGGACCATGAGAAACGTGCTCACAACACCCACTGAAGCGGTACACGGCGAGGCTTGGTGGCCACGGGTGCATGGGCGGCGATCAGCAGCACCGCTGCCCTGCTGCCCGACGCCGTCAGACGCCGTCAAGGCTAAGACTCAGTTTCGTACTGTTAAAATGGGGAAAACTATGAGCCTTGGACTTGATGAAATACCGATTTTGTAAAAGATGGTCAATAATCCAACAACAATAAAACCTAC